GGTCGCCGCAACCGGTCAATGAGGTATGTCTTGATTGATGTGCGAAAGAAGCCCCTCCCGAAAGATCTGTTCAATTCAACAGGAGTGGATGTCTACTGCATTCTGAAACTCTTCACAATGACCCTTGTCCTGGTCCTCTTCATCGGGTGCAACGTCATCCATAATGCCAAAGAAGCCCAGCAGGCCAAGGACATTCTTTGCGGCGGCAGCCAGGATTTCGTGCACGGCATTCACCCGGAACTCGGCCTCGTTGCTGTAGCTGATACGAAGCCCTTCAAGGCGCACGCAGGCTTCGAGATTCCTGGGATGCGTGAAGTGTTGGATGATGTGGTTTCCAAGTACGATCTGGACACCTTCGTACGAGTGGGCGGTAGCTGGGGCAGGGTCCAGGAGGATGATGAAAGCCCGATTGTTCTGCACAGTGAGGACGGGGTAAACCAACTGTCAGATTGGGTGAAATCACCTTTGAACTTCGCCAGTATGCCTGTTGCTTGTCGTGATCAAGAGATTGGCGGCATCGTGTATTATCCCGGGAGCGAAATTCCTGTGTGGGGGCCTGCAAGTTCTACGTTCGCTGCATTTACCAGCTGGGCGTGGCAATCCCTGACGGCGATGACGGGTGCCACCAACTGCACCCAAGCAAGAACGTTGTGCGACGACATGGCCATGCCATTGGTGCGCGTTTTGTGTCCTGACACCTGCGGCTGCAACGCCGCAGACAGCGGCGTCACCTTTGACTACGGCTGTCTCGAGCAATGCAGAGGTACAGCGGGGGCCTTCAGGGAAAGTTTGGATCAGGCCCCGTGCCAGGACTTCACGGGCGAAGCGCGACGCCAGGAAGCCTGGCAGCGCTTCTGGACCGTATATTGGACTGGCAGTGGCGACAGTCTGAGGCAGTATTTGCAGGGGAACTGTAGTCTTATCCCAGTCCCCAGGTTTTGCAACTTCTATCCCTGGACCCACAACGGGCAGCGCGATGTGAAGCTTCGCCCGCTGACCGCGCTCTGCCCAGAGACATGTGGCTGTGCTGACTCGAATGACTCAGACTCTGTCACATGGTGCCCCAAAAGTTGCGTAAGCCGTGAGGCAGTCTGAGGCGAGAGCCAGGGACAAGCCAGCTTTCCAGCCGAACAAATTTCTTGCGCATCTGTGTGTTTGGTGCCGAGTTGCAGCAAACGAGCGTGCGGAAGAAAGTCTGCAGCACCTGACAGCGTGTTGCTGGTAAACACGAGTCGGGAGGGGAAAGTGGACAGGCAGGTGAGTTGGGTCGACTTGTGCTGATGCTTGCTCTGTGCTGAGGCAGTGTCCCAAGACGAGCAGTTGCTGGCACTTTGCCTTTCGGTACGCAATTGGTGGGCGAGCCCTAAACCCTAGACCCTAAGAGGTAACTTGAGGAAAGCGGATTTGCGTTCCTTGTGGGATCCTTGCGATGTGTCCTTCGGTGCCCTCGGTGTCTGCTAAGTTTTTCGTGAACTCGAATACCCTAAACCATGAACCTGAAACCCAAAACATGTAAGATGCCAACTACCCCGGGCAAGGTCCAAACACGGAAGAGATCTTCATCTTCGAGCTGGTTTCCGAAAAGGACGGAGCCTTCCCAGAGAACTGGGTTTAGGGTTCAGGGCTTGCTCCTAAGTCACCTTTGCGACTGTGAGATGATCGAGTCTAAGCGTCGGGGGACCTTGGCAGGTGTTGGGGGGGAATACCAAAAGGGCTTGTGTGAGAGGCTTTTGGAAATCAGGGTCGATGGATCTGTACTAACTAGAGACCATGATTTTTCAGAAGAACCGTAGGCCTTTTGTCGCAGCAAGACTGCAAGAGCCCTGGATTGCAGTACCAGCGAACCCACGTGCTGCAGAAGCATTCGCAGCGAGTCACAGGCCGGGCCGCGGTCTCGCAGAGGGAAAGTTTGGGGCGGGGCAAGGCAGATGCATGCACTAGGCCAACCTAGGCAGCGAAAAATCTAGCGCCAAGTGCAACATTGGCAGCAATGCAGTCATACAGACACCTGATACTGGCAGCAAAGCCGTTATGAGCACAAGCGACAAATTGAGCCTCAAAATGGAGATCCCAAGCCCTAGGCCCAAGCACCTAAGTTGGCGTGCCTAGAGCTAAGTGTGGTCAATCTTGATTGTTGTATTGTATGATCTGGGATGGTGTCTAGCCCTTTTGTCACCCTAAACCCTAAACCCTAAGAAGGCTAAACCTGAAGCCGCGAACACGCTTAGCCTGAGAGCCCCGGGGGCCTGAATTTTGGAGTAGGGTTTGTGAGTATATTTTACTAGAATAAACATAATTAGATAAGCGAGTAAAAACATGAATGAATCGAGAGAGGGAAATACAATATATATATATATGTATATGTACATTTGGACACTAATTTATAAGAAATGATACAGGCAATTAGTCAGGCCTCTATATTAAGCTGATGCCCGCTGCGCAGAAGTGCAACGAGTACACTAAATAGCCTCCGAGACACCCGTCTTTTAGTCCTCAATCACTGAAGTACAGCCCCTCCTCCGTAAACCCTATATCCCCACTTCCCGCCGTCCGTTAAACCGTACCCCCAAAACCTTAAATTGAATTTGAGGTTCGGGCTTCACGGAGTTAGATCTGCCCTAAACCTTTAGCTGCAAGCGGCACATCCTTTAGATAGTAATCCTTATGGCCACTTGTGTAGTAGCTCTTTTCGGCTTTCTGCGACCGTTATACTAACTGCAGTATTCAGACTATCAATCATGGTATGAGTCATAGTCAAAATCAGTCATAATGATAATGATAGTTTCTAAAGAATCATCATCATCGTTGGTTACCTCATGTTAACCCTAAATCCTACACCCTATAGCCAAAGCCCTCAACCCTAACTCCTAAACCCAAAACCAAACCCAAGCCCCCAAACCCTAATTCCTACACCCTCAAAGCCCCTGAACCCCGAAACCCTAATTCCTGAACCCTAAAAGCCCCTTTAAACAGTGGAAAGAGTTTCCTGAGCAGGTCTCGACTGGTCCTGCCACGGGAGGCTGCTATCAGCCTCGGAGGAGAGCCCCTTGGGGGTTACTTGCAATTATGGGGGGAAGTTTGGGGGTCCTTGGGATAAGGGCGTAGGGTCTAGGGACTTGGGTTGAGGGTTTAGGGGTCAGGGTGGTATCTTACAAGCGTTGCAGAGATTTGGGAAAGTTTCGGGATGCAGGGTGCGTGCGGCAGAGCGGGTTTTTCCCCGGTTCCCACGGAAGAGAGATAGATAGAGAGAGAGGGAGAGGAAAGAGAGAGATGTAGATGAAAGAGACAGGAATTTCGGAATGGCGTGCAACCCCACAGCCTGAAGCAACAGAAGTCTTCACTGCAACGCCTGGAAGCTGCTGGCTTTGGAAGACCAGCCGGCGTTCTCGGTGTTCCCAGAGAGCCCAATACCCCTTAATTAAGGAATTTATCTTAAATTATAGGGGCCTTAATATTATACGCTATATTCCTTAATTAAGCGGTATTGGGCTCTCTGGGTTCTTGGGTCAAGCTATTGTAGGTCGCAGGTGCAACTCCGCAGAGAGCCAGTCCCGAGATCCGGGTCACGCAGGCCCAAGCCGCAGGTGTTAGTTGCAACTTCCACAATGATACGTTCTCAGCCATAAGACGAAGCAGGACGAGAGCCTTCTCTTGAGGTAGATCATCCCGGAATAACCTAATCCACAAGGCCTAGATTCCAGGCCCTCTAAACTGTACAGCTGCAAGTTCCATTGAAACAACGACAACAGGTTTTGATTGAGGTGCAGTGCTGTTTGCTGTGATAGGATCGGACGGCTTTCGTCTGGGAGCGGTCCGGAGATGGAAGTTGGAGGCCTTTTCTGCTTGCTGCCTTCACGCGGGTGGGTTTAAGGTTTCGAGGTTAAGGAATAATCTTTTGAGGCTCCCATCCCCTTGACTTGTTCTCTGAGTTACCCTTGATTCGACATCGCTGCCTCTGCAGTGAGAATAACGAATCAGCTTCGTTCTCCACACTGCAACGGTACATTGCTCGGGAGGGGCATGAGACTGACGACATCAATCAGACCGCTGCCACTTGTGATGACTCGATCAACAAACTCTGTGTCTACCTGCGGATATGCTTCACTCAGGTTGTCTAAGGATACTGGTAGGTTTCCTTGCTTGGCGCCAGTGAACTTGATGTGTTTGTTGTTGACGATTTCAGGTGCCTAAGTGGTAGGTTGCTAGTCAAATATTGCGCAACCCGGTAACTCATGTTTTAAGCAACTGGACTCTAGGGTTATGATGCTCACTTGGGCAACGAGGCATATTTAATCTTCCATTGTTGTTTCCATTTTGCTTTCCGCTTCTCCGCAGCCTGCCGTTCGGGCTTCTGTTCCGGGTTCCGCTGTCGAGGTTCAGCTTTATGTTTTTCTTTGCATCGTCTTCCGCTTCTTTGCAGGTTTTTGTAAGCCATGCGACTCTGCGGTGCATTTTGTGGTCTGCAAGCACACCCACGCCATACCTCCCACCACCCCGGCCTTGGCCCCCCCCGGCCCGTTGGCCCTGGATGCGGCTCCGGCGAGTTCCGAATCCGACGCCCGAAAACGAGCGGAACCGAGGGGGCATCCGACACGGATTCAGAAACCGGACCTTGGAATCCGAAACAGAACCCGACCCGGAGCCCGAGATGGTGTGTTTTGGCTCAGGACTTTTTTACTTTTTCTGGAGGGTCCCGGATTTACCGTTTCCGCTTCCAGTTTGGGTGCCGGTGCTGCCGGGCTTTCTGTTTCATTTCTGGAGGGCACTGGATTTACCGCTTCCACGTCCGGTTTGGGTTCTGGTGTTTCGGGTTCCGCTCCGGATTCCAGGTCCCAGTTTCAGCATCCGTTTCGGATGCCCTGTCGCGTTCAGGCGTCGGTTTCGGAACCCGCAGAATTGTTGGTCCGTGCTTCTTGTAGCTGGCTACAGTTGCTTTGCATGAAATTTCAAAATACAGGGATTGGCCTCAATGTGCCCAGAGTACCCAATTCTCCGTAATTAAGGAATATACCTTAAATCATAATATTAAGGCTGTCATATAATGTATATTCCTTAATTAAGGGGTATTGGGTTCTCTGGGTGGAGTGTAAGGTTACTCTTTTAAGGATGACATTTGGACGTAGAGCGGAAGCTACAGCGGAAGCCGAAACGGAAGTGCCCACGGGAGTGGAACCCAAACGGGAAGAGCCCTAAACCCTAAACCCTAAACCAGTATGTGGAAGGGAAAACCCAACCGGAGCCACAAACGGAAGTGTAAAACGGAGGGGAAATCCCAAGCCCGAAGGGTCCATGTGCCCCAACTAGTATATACTTTGGCCCCCAATGTACCTATATAGGGACTACTTTAAGGCCAATGTATATACTATATGAGTACATGGACCCTTAAAGGGAAGTGGAACTGCGAACGGAAAGAAGTGAGGTCAGGAGCGGAAACGTGCTCGTCCCACTGTTGCCGCAAATGGGCATCACAACCCTGGGATTGATCTACCCATAGGCTCCTTAGTCTGTTCCTTTGGGGATTACCTTATAGGATTCTAAATATGAACCACAAAAAGGAACTACTTAGGCGCCTCTGGGTAAGTCCTATAAACTCAAATTTGTGTCAGGTCTGTGAATGTGGAGCTGAAAGCTCCCCGCACGGTGCTCAGAAGCAGACGAGGCCCGCCTTTCCCATCTTTACCCTAATATGGTTGTTTGTTTGTTCCCTAGTTTATACATCGTGTGTAGGTCTTGCTTGGTGCGTCCGAACTCATCGCCTTTGTGTTCCAGACGCAGCCTTCACTACCAATGCGGAGCACGACAGAGATGCTGTTAACCCCCAAGATAAGAAGAACATGCTGAGAGGGTCCCTCCACCACTGTCCAACGTTGTGTATGGTTCTCCGTTCATCTATCCATTCATCAATCCACCACTCATTTATCTATCTACGCAGCTTGCATCTACATGAGAGCACCGGTATGTTACTTGGCCACCAGTTCAACAAGAGAACTTGAGTATTCAGCCACACAGGTCACAAGTCTTGCGACACTTTCTATGCCATGCTTAATCGCAGTTGCCAGCAATTTGCAAAGGGCCTCGGTGACAGTCTGAACGTA